CGTACAGCTTATAGATTAGGGCCTCACGCTTTAAATTCATAATCTGGTAGACAAAGGGCCCTCTTATATGTTAGATCCACAAGTCTAAATTTGACTCTGATCATCGATAAGCCTCTAATTTTAGTGTGTAGTAAGAATCTTTTTTTTGAAAATTTATTATGTTCTTTATAGGAAAATATATTGCACATTTATAATCGTAAATTTCGATGGTTATGATGTACAGCAATGGATTTTATTCTCTTGTTTTAAGAGAACTTTAAAGGAATTCTCTTATCAAAATGATTTCTTTCTCGCTTCTTCTTCAACGTTAGTTTTTTCTTCTCTCGACGGAGATCGCTACCCACCTTTCTTATTATTGATATCCTCAGATCATCAATAATACGACATATCCGACGATAACTTCCTCTACTACAACTCGTACTATACAGACAATATATATCTTAATATCCTCTGATCTTTCTTCATCCATTTGTCTCCGTTTTCTTCCGAACTATATTGAATCATCATCAATTTTTGCCATTGGTGAACTGGGAATTAATTTTTTTATCTGGATGGGATAAATTCAGCCAACCCGTATGATGTCTTTATATCAAAAACCTTCAGAAAATCAACTGTGCAAATAAATTGAGTGGTTTATGATTATTCTCACTTATTATAAGGAAATGGCACATTGTTCTTAGTATGTGCTTCTTGGCTGCGATCACTTCTTTTGTAAGTGGGTACCACTTATCATTTAAATCATATTTACGCGTTAAAATGATTAAATACCGGTATGATTCAATATAATACACAACCTCGATGTACCGTACCGCTCTTGTAAACAGTGCCATTTTCGGTAACGGATCTTGCCCATAAATGCTAAACAGAGAACTTTTCATTATCTGCGAATCTCTAAATCAAAAGATTTTGCGTTATGAACGGCCTTATTATGTAAATTTCAAATTCTCAAATTCAAACTTGTATGTAAACCTCATTACTATACACAATTTTCAATGTTTGCACTAGGCTATTTCGGTCTAGTGCCACATGCGATTTATTACCAATTTAAGAGGAGAATAAATGGTGGCACTAAATCGAGATTTGACTTCTAATAGCGTAACATTTCTCCTGACTGCAATTAGCTAGCTATTTTATACATTGTGTTCAATTTCTCAGCGAATATTCGGAAATTATTTTCTATTCAATTCTCATTTAATTTTCAAGTTTTTATCGTGTGAATTGAAGAAGTATTTTAATCAACTCTCACTGAGAACTCGTATTATCATCTTGCAAGATGGTAATGTGAGCGAGATTTGGGAACTTCAAGTGGTTACTTAATCTCTCTTAAAATAGCCATGTAAAGTTTACCGCTGATCAATCTGTAAGAATCTATCGACTTGCACAGCATACAGAAATATTTGAGAGCATTTCTTTGCACAATGCTGCAAGGAAAAACGTGTTCTTGGCTTCTAACGTCATTTATCTTCTAGAGCTGTTTTAAAGAACGAATCTGGATATATCTATAAAGAGTAGCATACATCATCCTATTGCTTCTGAATTCTATTAACACGAATAATATAACTGTAAATTAAAACTTCATCATCTTTACTGTGTAGAAGTGAAATAAGAGACAGCCAACACGCCCTCCTTCATAGATTGCATTGGACTGATGGAATGAGAATTCCTCCAGTTCAATTCAATCTATAAAAGAGTTGACAGGGACGATCTATCAACAGAGGGTTACCTCTCTGGTATAGACCTTTCCGGCTCAGACTGATTCGTATCTATTTTTTCGTTGCGCAGACTATAGCAGAATAGAATAAAAGACTAATAAAATATATTCGTATATATAATAATTTAAAATATTAAGAATTAAACAAGATATATAATTTCCAAGTTACTTGACTTTGTCGTTCAGTTTTTAGCAGTAGACACCATCTTGAACGCCATTTTGAAATAAAAATGACAGTGTTATTTATTTATTTTATTTAATAGGAAACTTTCGACCCAATTACGTTCTAAAATAATAAAATAGTTTCTGACTATATTAAAATATTTTATTTAAAAAAGTAAATGTGGTCGAAGCTAACGTATCACAACTTTTGTGGTATTAAGTGTGATGATAAATGAAAACAGGATGGAAATTACACGAATTTCATCATTTCTTGAATTTTTTGTGTGACCAATTAGTAAATAAAACATGAATTTGAAAAATAAATAAATATTTCAAATAATTTTGATAGACTTAAAGCAGTTATAGAGCTTACCGCTCCGGGGGCTCCGGGTTCGAATCCAAGCAAGCAGCTCCAGGAAGGTGGTCCGGATATGTTGAACCGACACCCTCACCACGCTCCCATTGTGGGTCTGGCCAAACCCATTGCTGAACATGATTAAAAATGCCCTCTTAATACTCACGGGGCAGAAATAGTAAAAATAAAAAAATATGAAAATATATCAATTTTGATATCTATTTTTAGTATAATAGTCTATATCTAATAAAATTTACGTTTAATTGAATGAAAAATAGTCAAAATACGAAGTAACCAATTATCGTTAAGATAACCATATCCTGCACCTATCAGCGTTAAGTATTTATAAAATCTTTCAAAAACTTATTCTCACAGTTTTAACAGAGATTTACTGATTATATTTAAAATAATTCTTACTTAATTTTAATTTTTTATTTAATATTTGAAGTTTATATAGACTCATTCGAGGGATTTCCAACTAAAATTGTAAATTTATTTACACTTTATTTGTTTAATATCGAGATTGTGGCAGAAGTTTTCATCTCTAAAACGTGAACGTCGAACGTCGAGCGCCGCTTACAAGAAAGCTGCGCACGACGTTCGACGTTCACGTTTAAGAGATGAAAACTTCGGCCGCAATCTCGCTATTGTCTTCAAGTGTTTTGTTTTTAATTTTTTTTCCTATGACGTTTTAATGATTTTTAAATTTGAATTTAAAGAAATTAGCGCATTGACTTACCATCTCTTCTTAAATCCCTCGATAGATTAACCTTCCTCTGGGTTCATTGCATGTCTGAAACAACTTGAAGCATTATTTTACGCGATTACAATTTATGATTTTCAGGAGATCCCAAGATTTTCTATGAAAATTATTAAGAGTTTTTTAAATAACTATAAAAGAAGCACAGTATATTTCATTATATTTATCTACTAGAAAAAGAAAAATTATAAAAAAAACTTGTAAAATTCATGAAAGTTCCTTGACTCAAGTCAATTTACACGAAACCAACACCTAAAATTAAGAAATTATAATGGTTCAAAATTGGTTCAACGAGCTTAATTTAACGTAGGAAATTATAAAAAAGAGATGAATGAAGAAAGGATCCATAAAAAAAACAAGAAATATTAGCATGATACCATTCAAAAAATCATCTCTTGATACAAAAATAGACCAATTGCCGAAAGGTAGATGAGTTATTAACGATGCTGCTGTTGCAACTAATGATGATGATGATGATGATGACGACGAGAAATTCTTGCGTGGAAACGAAAGAAAAAATTACCTTTAATATAGTTATTAAATGTAAATAAATGATAATATAATTTATATTATTCTATGAATAAATTAAACATTATTTAAACCTTATATTATCAAAACTCTATTTAAAATATTTCTATTAAATTTAATTGTTTAATATGATTTCTAACATTTAAACACAAGAAAATACACATGTATATAAATTCTTGTATTTTATTTTTTACTATTTTTTTTCAAGTGTAAGATCAATAACATGATGTAATAACCTGTCAAAATCTATATCAATGAATTACAGTTACTAAGGTAAAAAGAATTTAATCAAAGTTGGCAAATCACCCAGACTTATGACAAATTCCCTTCTAGACTTATCAGAAACACCTACGGCAATTTACATACATTAATCATTAGTAACAGCTAATTTCTGCTTAGGGGTGGTTATAATTCTGCAGATTATTATTAATGTCATATTAACGTGATGTGAATTTTAGTTTATCATTTTATTTAAACTTTTATTTATGTATTTATTTATTTTAAAAATGCTTGAGTAAAGGAAGCTTCGTAATAATTATATATTTCTACAGACATAATTAAATTTTAATTAGCATTTAAGGTGTTAAAAAAACAATTAATAATAATAATAATAATAAGAGGGTCAGATGGCCGAAGCGATATAATAGACGATCGCACTGGGGGATCCAGGTTCGGTTCCAGGATATTGCATCGAAGGTATTCACGAGATAAGTTATCATTTGGGCTTTGCCCTTACTCGATTAAGGTAGAAAAATTAAGGCATTAAATCGTAATAGGATTTCGGTGCATTGCGGGTTCTGCCAGCCTACAAAGGGTCTTTTTAGGTTGGCGGCCAAATCTATGTCGGATGCTCTAAAAAATGGGACTTCTAAGTTGCTGCAGGGAGAAAGAATTAAAATTAAAGAACATAATAACAATAATATCGAAAGCATACGAAATTATAAGTATGCAAAAAAGATTTAATGAGACTTACTTCCTGTTATCTCTTTGTTCCTCCACTTATCGAGTATCTTTTACGATTGAAAGTTTTATAATTATAGATTAATTATTTGAACTTTCTATTGATTCCTATCTTTTTATCTTCTTATTACAGCTTGTAAAAATGAAAGATTAAATAATTAAGCTAACAAACCATTGTTTTCTATCAGACACTTTCTAATGTTTCCATCAATTAATCCGGATTAAAAGGATTTAAAATTATTAAGAAAATAATGGAACCTTGCCAAACGTAACTTCAAAACCTTACCTTTTTTTTTTCTTTAAATATTACTCATTAAAATTAATATATATCTAATAACACATCTGTACTTAGAGTATAAAAGACATTTATTAATTCAAATCATTATCATTTCCTGGTATCAATTAAATTATGAGGGAGGGGGAAAGTTGATGAAAAAGTGCCCATAAACAATTCTGGAAATATGGGAAATTCCGTATTTGTCCATTAACAGTTTCCTCTTAATTAAAATAAGCTTTCGCCGACTGAAAATTAAGATCCAATGTTCTACTAAACCAGATCGGATGTGAATTGTTGTAAAGGTAATTCACGATCAGACAGAGGAAATGCTGTATGTACATGTGCTACACTTTCTATGACGTTTGGATCGCAAGTTAACCACCCAACATTATAACGGTTAAAAGTACACCTTTCGCAATACCGAAGTGGAGCCATTCTGATACGGTAAGAGCATATTTTTCTCTTTATTTCATTTTTTTTACTTCATAATTAAGAGGTAAAGAACTAACACAGGATTAATTATAAATTAGGTTAAAGTTTTGTTTTACTAACTTTATGATTTATACTTTAAAATTTACAGTTTTAAATAAGAAAATATTAAAAAATATATTATTTTTTTAACCAAAATATTATATTTTAAGCACTCTTTTTTCCTATTAAAATACTTTTTTTTCCCTGTTAACGTTGTGCTAGAAATGTTTCTATCCAACGAATTCTGCTTAATTTATCCTTTATAAACTTAAATATAGAATATTTATCGTAATTATATAATATACATTTTATAATTTAATATATTAAATGTATATAAAACTCAATTTAGTTATATTATTAAAGGGAATTCTATGAAATGTTTTATCTTCTGTTTTTGGTTAAACAAATAAATTAAATTCGATGTTGTAGATACTATTGTCTTTAGCTTAATTGCTACTCTTTGTGGTTTCTTTTATTCAAACTATTGTTCCATTTGAAGGTAATGTCAAATTTTGTGATTTATTTTTAAACAGGTTTCTTTTTTCCTTTTTTTTTTTTACGAGTTACTCGTAAAAACTGCAAACTTTTCTCGGCCTTTTTATGTATAATATACCTTCTAAACGTTTAATTATTACATAAAATAATCCGTATTTTACATGCTTAATGAAGTTAACACGTAAATAGATAATTATATATTTCATTGTAATTATTTTCCCCTTTCGATTGCACCATTACGTTTCTATAATTTAGCCATTTAACACGAAGTAGATTTTTATCTCGCTGTTTATAAAAAATACAAATGAAGTCATTAATATTTCATTAAAATGTTTAATTATTTATACGTTGATCCGATAAACACAGAAGATTTTACATAATAATTGAGGCTCTGAAACGGTGCCATATGGCTTCATAGTGTTGTTAATTTTGCGAATTTTACAATAAACGGCTTGCAAGTTAATATTTTATAAGTATCTTAACCTAGATATAGCTTTACTTTACGCTTAATTTGCTAATGGATCAGAAAAGAAACAATTGTAAGCATCTGTGCAAACAAACATTTCGTGCATCCTGTTTGATCCATTGTTAGGTCTAGGTCGAGTGTGACAAAATGGCGACCAAATGTGTGAAGAAATATTCATTTTTTTTTACTTAACCACAAAACAAAATTACGTATATATTATATAATCAAGAGTAATTACTTTCAATATATATTATAATTATTCATTTATTCATTTATAATGAATAATTTACAGAAAACAATTGAATTGAACTCTTTGTAAATTCATACTTTTGTTTACAGATGTGACTCGGAATTATAACGTTAAAATAATTAAAATTTAATTAATTTTTAACTTTAAAAATTAGAATTTTTGACTAATGATGGCGGCCAGTTTAGGAAGTTTGAAGTTGCAGAGAAATCATTTATTGTTTCACACATTAATTATCGACAATGTCACGTTTGAACGTTTTTAAGTAGAGCAATTTATCATTAGTTTTGATCATTTAGTTTGGAAGAAGCTGAACAACTTTTTGTCAAAATATAATTTTTTTTTTTTTTTTCCTCCTTNTATTTCTTGGCTTGGATGTGGATGCAGATACACTGTCAAGAACTAGTTATTGGGAAGGAATTAGCCATTGCAAATGATAAGAGATATCAATTTGTTCACTACAGACCAAATTATTGGTGCCCACAGAATCTTAATGAATGTAAATGCGAAGGAGAATACAGTTTTGCTTTGTTAACGTGCAATAATATAAACAATCGCACGTTAGAGAAATTCTCGAGAATTTACTTTCCTAAAATCGATTTTGGAAAATTCTCTTTAACTAATTCTGACGTTAAAATTTTATGGAGAGGATTATTCGGAAAATTAACATTTCAATATATTTACATTAAAAAAGTATCTTTAAGAATAGTAGAAACAGGAATTTTTAATCGTATGTACGATTCAATGGAGAGATGCGAAATTACAAATTGCGATGTTCATACTTTTCCCTTTTCGGACTTAAAATTTTTTAAAAAATTACAAGTTCTACGTTTAACTTATAATGCAATTAAAAATATACCCGATTCGGCATTCGGAAACGTTCGATCTTTAAAAAAAATTTATTTAGATTTTAATAAAATTAATTACATCGGTTCGTACGCTTTCAAGGATCTCGTCAATCTCGAAAGTCTGGATCTAAGATATAATAAATTAGTGGTTTTAAATGATTACGCTTTCGCTATTAAATCAAAAAATATCAATTTAATTTTAGATTTATCCTTTAATTCGATTTCTATGATACGTAATAGCTCTTTTAATAATCAATGTCCTAAAAAATTGTATCTTAATAACAATAACCTGAGGATTCTCAATAGAGGAACTTTTAAATCAATTGTGGAAAAGATGGCTCAAGTCAATGGAGGAGTTATTCGCGTGGAAGGTAAGTTATAAATAGTTTTATTTCTGTGTTCGTAGCATAATTATATACTCATTGGAAGCTTTTATGTCTTAGATAATAGATTTACTTGCGATTGCTCCAAGGCAGAATGGTTGGTACTTTTACGAAATGTGGAAAAGAGACACATCAAAGGATTTCGATGCAAGAATAATGATAAAGGATTAGAAGATTTAACGTTATCCGATATGGGATGTAAAAGTTATTAGAAGCGAAAGTGTTCTGATAATTTGATTTTTCTCGTTACACTTCATCGAAAGCAATTATAACAATATTAAATAATTAAATCTTGTTATAATTTTTATATTTTAAAACTAATAATTTCTCATATGAAACGATTTAAAATATGTATTTCTACATCATTTTTACTTAGAAATAAAATTTATTATATTTTCAATAAAAATTCCCATCCGTTTCGAAATAATATATATATATTTTTTAATGATTCACGTATAAACTTTCAATAAAAACTATTGAAAGAATTCGAACGAACCTTGGATATTGATATAAAAAATGATTGAAAGTTAAAAAAAAATATATTTCAATAGTTACGATACTTTCTGTAATAACAAATAAAAATGAGAATTTCCAGGAAATGACGTCGATTTTAATCAAAGGATCTTATGATAATCAGGAAAAGCGTGACAAAAGTTCATCTCTACGCTTCAAAAGAGGGAGAATGGCTCATTTTTCAATTATAAAACTATATAAAAGGTACAATTCATCAAGTTTCAATTGTTAAAATATAACAAGTTTAGATGAAGAAGCATTTAATTTCTAGATTGACGTATTGCTGATTACTTCCTAACATACAGGAAAAGAAATCTACAGAAGAGATTATTAAATTACCCGAAATTATTTCAATTATTCGACATTAAATAATTCCACTGTAATCTTTCTTGATAAATCTAAATTAAGGATTCTACACATCACCTTCTTCCAATTGCTCCATCACATCCTCCGGCATCCATCATTTATTATCCCTTCTCTTAATGTATTTTCATTTTCTTTCCAGCAAAATTTGTAAAGATTTATCTTCTTAAATATCTTCTACAATAAAAAACGTATATATTTTTAAAAAAATATAGAGAATTTATAGGTTATACGCGTATAATCAAATGGAGCCAAAATATAAAAAATTACAGACGAAAGTTGAGTAATGGAAGAGGAAAGTATAGAAGATATTATTGATTTCTAGTCCGAAAAAAAGACGAAAGTACAGTTAATTTTTATGGCAGTTTTTCTTTTATCAAATCATAAATTCGTTAAGGAAAAAAAACACAATAAACTATAAAATAATTAAAATGAAATTATTCAATCGATAAACATTTATCTCGAATGAAGAGACGGAACGATACAAACTAATTTAAAATAAATTAAATATTAAAAAGTCTTTTTATTTTATCTAAATATTAAAAAAAACAGATTTTTACGTATTAAAATAATTTATTAAATTGATTTTCCTCTTCTTATCTTAAGCCGAATCAGAAAAAGATATTATTTTTTCATCCTCATCATTTTATCCCCTTGTTAACATTAATTATTATAAATTAATATTTATTTTATTCAAAAAAAATTAATTTAACCATTAAATTATTTATATATTAATTTTTTTTAGATGAAAATCTACTCGATTTTTTATTTCTTGGCTTGGATGTGGATGCAGATACACTGTCAAGAACTAGTTATTGGGAAGGAATTAGCCATTGCAAATGATAAGAGATATCAATTTGTTCACTACAGACCAAATTATTGGTGCCCACAGAATCTTAATGAATGTAAATGCGAAGGAGAATACAGTTTTGCTTTGTTAACGTGCAATAATATAAACAATCGCACGTTAGAGAAATTCTCGAGAATTTACTTTCCTAAAATCGATTTTGGAAAATTCTCTTTAACTAATTCTGACGTTAAAATTTTATGGAGAGGATTATTCGGAAAATTAACATTTCAATATATTTACATTAAAAAAGTATCTTTAAGAATAGTAGAAACAGGAATTTTTAATCGTATGTACGATTCAATGGAGAGATGCGAAATTACAAATTGCGATGTTCATACTTTTCCCTTTTCGGACTTAAAATTTTTTAAAAAATTACAAGTTCTACGTTTAACTTATAATGCAATTAAAAATATACCCGATTCGGCATTCGGAAACGTTCGATCTTTAAAAAAAATTTATTTAGATTTTAATAAAATTAATTACATCGGTTCGTACGCTTTCAAGGATCTCGTCAATCTCGAAAGTCTGGATCTAAGATATAATAAATTAGTGGTTTTAAATGATTACGCTTTCGCTATTAAATCAAAAAATATCAATTTAATTTTAGATTTATCCTTTAATTCGATTTCTATGATACGTAATAGCTCTTTTAATAATCAATGTCCTAAAAAATTGTATCTTAATAACAATAACCTGAGGATTCTCAATAGAGGAACTTTTAAATCAATTGTGGAAAAGATGGCTCAAGTCAATGGAGGAGTTATTCACGTGGAAGGTAAGTTATAAATAGTTTTATTTCTGTGTTCGTAGCATAATTATATACTCATTGGAAGCTTTTATGTCTTAGATAATAGATTTACTTGCGATTGCTCCAAGGCAGAATGGTTGGTACTTTTACGAAATGTGGAAAAGAGACACATCAAAGGATTTCGATGCAAGAATAATGATAAAGGATTAGAAGATTTAACGTTATCCGATATGGGATGTAAAAGTTATTAGAAGCGAAAGTGTTCTGATAATTTGATTTTTCTCGTTACACTTCATCGAAAGCAATTATAACAATATTAAATAATTAAATCTTGTTATAATTTTTATATTTTAAAACTAATAATTTCTCATATATGAAACGATTTAAAATATGTATTTCTACATCATTTTTACTTAGAAATAAAATTTATTATATTTACAATAAAAATTCCCATCCGTTTCGAAATAATATATATATATTTTTTAATGATTCACGTATAAACTTTCAATAAAAACTATTGAAAGAATTCGAACGAACCTTGGATATTGATATAAAAAATGATTGAAAGTTAAAAAAAAATATATTTCAATAGTTACGATACTTTCTGTAATAACAAATAAAAATGAGAATTTCCAGGAAATGACGTCGATTTTAATCAAAGGATCTTATGATAATCAGGAAAAGCGTGACAAAAGTTCATCTCTACGCTTCAAAAGAGGGAGAATGGCTCATTTTTCAATTATAAAACTATATAAAAGGTACAATTCATCAAGTTTCAATTGTTAAAATATAACAAGTTTAGATGAAGAAGCATTTAATTTCTAGATTGACGTATTGCTGATTACTTCCTAACATACAGGAAAAGAAATCTACAGAAGAGATTATTAAATTACCCGAAATTATTTCAATTATTCGACATTAAATAATTCCACTGTAATCTTTCTTGATAAATCTAAATTAAGGATTCTACACATCACCTTCTTCCAATTGCTCCATCACATCCTCCGGCATCCATCATTTATTATCCCTTCTCTTAATGTATTTTCATTTTCTTTCCAGCAAAATTTGTAAAGATTTATCTTCTTAAATATCTTCTACAATAAAAAACGTATATATTTTTTAAAAAATATAGAGAATTTATAGGTTATACGCGTATAATCCATCTATTGCTTCCATGAATGAAAGCAATGGATGGATTGAAATTAATTTATGTCAAAAATCTTAATGTAATAATAACAATAAAATTAATTTAGATAAATCGAGATATAGTTTTAGAAAAAATTGCTAAATTAAAACTATTGCTTTGAGGCATTTGACATTTTATAAATTAAATTAAAGCAAACATGTCATGCGAGTTTCGGGTTTTTTTTTTAATTACACCAAGCAAATTTATTCATTATCGCTTCTTGCGTGAATAAATAAAATTAAATATCATTAATTACTAATTAATTAATTACGTTTATTATCTATCTTTTATTAAATTATTGTTATTATATATATATATATATTTTAAATCTGTAAATCTAATTATAAAATGGTTTTATTAGTAATGCTGTTTTTTCTTTTATTTTTAAGTAAAAATTAATATTTTAAATCTAAATAATTAATAATTTTTCTTTTTAAGAATTTAAAAAGTTGTTTTTTTAGATTAATTAAATTATTAAAAAAATAATTCGAATTTTTGTAACTTTTATGTGTCGCCATCTGTTAATGATAATGAGAATTATTTTTATCAACGTTAGTTCTGTTAAAATCTACCCATAACGTCGCTTATTTCCTTTTCTCCTTCGATCTTGCTTCCCTTCCTTCTTCGCCCGTAAGAGGTCGAAGGTCATCCGGGTCATAAAACCTTCCACCCGGAGCCAACTGTCCTGTCATCTAGTGACATATGCCACGTGGAATCGCATCGGCTTTCCTCCCACTAGGAACCGTACAGATTTTCTTCGCTTCGTATTATTTTATTTTATTTATCGGAATAAAAAATAAAAAATAAATGAAATTAAAAAATAATTTAA